TATATATATATATATATATATATATATATATATATATATATATAAAAATGTATATATGCATGTATGTATGTCAGTATGTATGTATGTATGTATGTGTGTATGTATGTTTATGTATATATATACGTATGTGTCACATATACAATTGTAGTTCACTTACAACTATGTGTGCTTTTTCAAGCATCTATATTTTTATTCCTACCATGTTATTCTCCTTTGTCAATCGCATCCATTAATATTAAGACTGGTTAATCGTAGACTGCAGCGGACCGAGAAAACGCAAGAGCGTCAATTAGAGCAATGGAGCGAGCTAATCAAGGCTTATTATAAACATACCATTGCGTACGAACTGACGATTACAGAGGCCGCAGGCTCAGAATTGTTTAGGAATGCTGAAATAAATCGTATGTGTTGTTGATATATATATTGTTCTTTTCGTTGTGTAATTGGGTACGATGATGGGTATTGTATATGGTAAGTGCATGCTTCTTCAAGGACAGGCGTGTTGTTTAATCGTATTGAAATGTGCGTACTTGTCGCAGGCAGGGTTACTGTTTCTATCACGAATTATGAGCTGTTAGTGGGTGCATTGGAAATCTAACGTTTATACACGAACGTCTGTAGACTGATTATGCTCAGCGCATATAAACCGCACTGACAGGCGTGGGCCTTCATACGTGTTGAAGCTCTTCATGCAATTTCAACGAGCATGTCACAGCCAAATGATTAGGATTTTGGCGGACTTTCGGCATACTTGCGCACGGTTCTAATCCAATCCTGGCATAATCATTTAAAGTTCTATTCCAATTTTGGCATATTTGTACGAGGTTGTATTCCTTGTTCCTTTTGTTGGCGGAAATCGTCTTTGAACCAAATTTGTGGCGAACTTTCGACGTAACTTGTACAATGTACCTTTTCAATTCTGGCATAATCTTCTGAATTCCTATGCCAATTTCGGCATATCCGTATAAGATTGTATTCCTTGCCATTATTATTCTGGCATAATCTTCTGAATTCCTATGCCAATTTTGGCATATCCGTATAAGATTGTATTCCTTGCCATTATTCGTGATAGAACTTGTTTTTGACCCGAATATGTGGCGGACTTTCGGCATATTTGTACAGTGTTTTAATCCAATTCAAGCATAATTTGTATAAAGTTTTACACCTTGCTATTAATGTTGGCTGAAACGTGAACCAAATTGGGCTTGTCGAATTCAGGGCGGGCGAGTGACGAATTGATCCAAAAGATAATCAGCACGCTAGAGAAATCAGGTATGTGTTCACACCACAATAAACCAGGGCGATCTTGCCTGTCGGGAGGCCTGGTGTAGAAAAGTTGGACCGAAGCACACTTCTTAGTGCAAACCGATAAATTAGACTACTATATGTTTCTATTTGTCTTGAATTCGTTGGTACAATTAACAAGTGGTTGTTTTTCTCTTGAACGTATACGCTCTGTACTGATTCACTCATGCCTAATCCACGGTGCTAATTTGCATGCCATTGTGTACCTACAGGGAATGCGGAATGTATAGATCAAGATCGCAATAGATTCCGCATATATTGGCGTTCAATAGCTGCGTGGGCCAATACTATATATTCATGGGTATGTATGTAAAGTATATTCCATCCATACTTGCGTGTTTATATATGCAATGGTGTGTATGTAAAGTATATTTCATCCGTGCTTCCGTGTTTGTAGATGCATGGGTATGTATTTAAAGTAAATTTCGTCCATACATCCGTGTTTGTGTATGATCTGGTGTTTGGTTTTGCTCATGGTCGACTAACTACATGGTTCTTCATATTAAGACCTTGGTAATGAGCAGATGCATGCACACGTATTCACATGCAGTTTAAAGGCGGTTCACAGTCTGTGCACGGGGAGTAGGCTGGCATAATATATGTATGGGACCATGTCTCTACGAAAGCTCGGATATGTGAAAACCTATATATATATATATATGTGTGTGTGTGTGTGTGTTTGTGGGTGGGTGTGGGTGTGGGTGTGTGTGTGTGTGTGTGTGTATGTCTGTGTATGTCTGTGTATGATACAATTAATTATGAGTGGCTGTATATACCAAAGTTCATGTATTCTGATCAGTTGCAACCAAATTCGGAAATTCCAACCATGTTTTTAAGTCTGTATAGTATCAAAGACGAAGCCGCAAATTGTGTTTGCCTGTGTATCTATGGGCAATTCTCTTGTGAGGCCCAAACAGCCGATTTACGCGACTGTGCTTATGATATGTGTACCTTGTCAGTCCTATTTTTTGTGCAGAGGGAAGGTCCTGTTCCAAATCTCAGACCAGAGTTTTCATTTTATGTCCCATATGTCAGATCGAGAAGACGTCACGAACAGATATGGTGCTCACATTCTACGAACTCAGGGAAGGCGACGAATCAGAGGGCGAAGGTAGGTGTGGGGAATTTCTGGGGTTGCAACAATTTATGGGATAGAGAATTTGATTGGCGATGCTATTTTTACATATGGGTCTGCCTAGTTAGTAACGGAAACGGGAATTGGGACAATTTACCGACATCGCAAGCGCGCGGCTATATCATGCAATTGGCACTCATGCTATTCAGATTGTGTCTCAAGTGTGGTGAGCAGGTTGCCCACTACTTATATTATATTCGACCCTTAATTATATCATACTTAACCCCAATTCTATCATACTAAACGCCAATTATATTGTACTTAACACTGATTGCATCATACTGTACGTTTGTTTGTCGTACGTGTTCCATAAATAGAATTCCATGGCATGGATCTAGTCACGTTCCAAAAGGCGTTGGAGGATCTCGAGAAGGTGGGCAAGTGTACTATCTTTCAAGGTGACGAAACAGATGGCGATGGTGTTAAGTTTTATTCAGTATAGCCTAAATTCTACAATAAAAATTTGTACTATATTTCAATTTGCTCCTTTAAGTTCCTAAATTCTGCTGTCTATGTGTTATTGAGACAGCGGAGGATTTCGGAAAGGGTATCAAGTTCACTATCTGGTTGATGATATTGGCGAGCTAAATTGCACGGAGTTGCTTCGTACATAAGCATGTCTGTGCCGAACTTAACGCATCTCCTATCTCTAACAAGTATGAACCATTCACTCGAATTCCTTAAAATGTAGCGTCGGGGGTACTTGGCACACTCGTAGGTATGTAGTTATTGTACAGGCAAATACTGCGGATATACGAGAAGAACCCAGAACACTGGTAGTAGATCTTTCTTTCCATCATGACTGACGATGCGGTGGAGTAGGTGTCGTGATGTTTTAAATGACGCGCATCTTCGGTATGGTCTTTGGATCAGCAAATGAGCATAATATACTGCCTTATCAATTGGGAATTCAATGTTCCGTCAAATACGAATCGTCGCAATCACCCAGTCTCGATCTACTGCAATAGGTAGAAACATAGAGTTGGCTGCATGATTGGTTGTCTGCGGAAAGCGCAGAAGTGGTCCATAATCTTGATGGATGAATATTACCGCTTCTCAGGTACCAAGGTTCGCTATCATCGGCTTTCGATAAATATACCAGACCTCGTGACGGAAATATGAATTCGGGCACTAGAACTTCGAATATACGCGTACTATAGTATCTGAGCGCATGTACGATCGAGCAATTGTAATATTGTATCCGTTGGCAGTATCAGCGATCCACTAATTTTCCGCATACTCTGTCTGGTTCTGAGTAAAATCCAGTTTTGTTATCCGCGTTATATGATTGATAGCAAACCTGTCATGCCGTGGAGAAAGGCGTCATTTGCCCTGGTACTGCCGCAAAAAGCATCGATACTCAAAACAGTGAACGAGAAGCAGTTTTTGAGAACTCCTTTGACAATAAAAACTTGGTTGTTCTCACTGATCGTTTTGCTGAGCTCCTGGGATTGTGGTGTACATATTTGTAAAGTATGCATGACGTACGAATTTATCGTGACTGAAGCGCATAAATTTTACCCCACTCGATGCCTGTACTCGAGCCGCTTGTCGAAAATCTGGTATATAGTTTTCTGGTGTGAATGATCTCACCAATACCGTATAAACATAAGCGCCAACATGGTCAGCGAAGAGAAACCACGCGGGTGGATGGGGTGCCATGAAAACTCTCAGCGCTTGGGGTGGCATTCGATCCGCACAAGACGGGTCTCAGATATCACATTTAACAACGTTGTATTGTTTAATTGAACAGTGAAGAAGTTAAGGCATTCGTGCGCTATAAACATGATTTGTATCGCACAGAGGAATACGTCAGCATTATGATATTGCTTGTATCGCACTACGTACTCATTGCTATAGTTAAGTTGAAATACTGTACACGGCTGCTAACTTCTCCACTCACATGGATGGGAGAACAAACAAACGGAGTACCAGCCTTAGTGGTTGTTGCTATTGCAATTTTCATGCTTTATGGGAGTCGAAATGGAACAAGTGAATTTGAGCATTCCGTAGCATATTGGCATATTGTAAGGTATTTCGGGAACAGTATACAGTATTCCGTATGATAAGTCTTACAGTTTCCATTTCTTTCAGTCGTCATTAGAGATCATTCCTATGGATATAGGGTCGAGCCCTATTCAGTCATTGCGAATACCTCGATCTCGTTCAGGGTTCAATTTTGAGAGAAACAGATTACACGAAAGCCCTGGCCAGATGTGTCTACATACGCCTGGGGAAACTGGATTGTGCAAACTTGACCCTTCACGATAATGTCATTGCCCCATTTGAATTGAGAGATCGGCGTATGGAGGGTTCTATACCACCCATAACCGCCGTAACAGGTTTTTCCGTCACATAAAGATTGCTGCTTTACCCAAGTACGGCTGATTATCAGGGGTTGCCCAAGAACAACAGAAACCGCCGAAAATGCAACCGGAGTCGTCTTTCTCAGCACAACTGTAGGACCAGCCTGACTGCATTTTGCGTTGAACTGTAGGACCAGCCTGACTGCATTTTGCGTTGAATTGACTCAAGTCCCATCCATCCCGTGTTGCCCGATAAATCGGTGTACTGCCCGCGTGTCCGAACCAGGATTTCAGTATCCTCTTGTGTACGTTTCTCTTCACAATACTGGAAAATAGAAATCCTTTTTCAGATCCGTATGAGCCATCCGCTTTCACCAGCATTTTTTGTGTCTGTTTGTTCAGTTTGTCAATACCCTCTTGAAGACTGGTAAGCTGAGAATGCGCATGGGATTCAAGGAGGGCGAACTCGACCGACTTCACAACTGGTTGGATCTTCAGTAAATTTTGCAGCAGTTTGTTCGCGATACCGAGAGCCACAGGAGTTTCTCGAAGCATTTCCAGCTTGGAAATCCGAATAGAGATTGACGATATCGTTCCAATTTTTACAGGCTTCGAAATCAATCTTGTAGTTGAAAAGATCCGTGAAGGCGCACATCTCCATGTCTTGTGCATGCTCGAAAGATTCCAAGTACTCTGGAACATGAATCATTACCTCCGCTTCTTGAACGGTGTACTTCCCTGGTGCGTCGAAGTCGAATTGGTACATCAGAGTTTTCACATCTTCCTTCCCTGTCACTCGCGCAATTACCGCAGTGTTAGCAGTGGCGACCTCAAGAGCCTGTTTGAGCACTGTACCCATAGTACACTCTGATTTTGTTTCTGATGTGGGAATAGCACAATCCTTCATACTTGACTTTCGGATTGTCGCTAGATAGTATACTTAGAGAGTGAGATTTCATGTCTCGTTTAACTTGCTCTTATAAGCCCCAATAAATTCATTTTATACCGCTTAGATGTGTACTGTGCTCCAAGTGCGTATTGAATCAAAGAGTGTTGCGAGACAATCACACTAAAATATCGTTTGTTTTGTTTAGGCAGGACGCGTGGAGTGTACGATCCTGCCTAAACAAAACAAACGATAACCCGCCTTCACCAGCATTTTGTGCCTGTTTGTTTAACATGTCTATAACATTTTGACGACTGGTTGGCTGAGAATGCGCATGAGATTCAAGGAGGGCGAACTCGATCGATTTCACAACATGCTGGATCTTCAATAAATTCTGTAGCAGTTTGTTTGCTATACCAAAAGCCACAAGGGTTTCTCGAAGCATTTCCAGTTTGGAAATCAGTTTACTCAATTTCGAATTGAGATTGATGATATCGCTCCATTTTTTACAGGCTTTGAAATCTATCTTGTCGTTAAAAAGATCCATGAAAGCGCACAACTTCATGTCTTTTGGGTGCATCTATCTTGTCGTTAAAAAGATCCATGAAGGCGCACAACTTCATGTCTTTTGGGTGCTCGAAAGATTCCAAGTACTCTGGGGCATGAACCATTACCTCCACCTCTTGAACGGCGTACTTCCCTGGTACGTCAACGTCGAATTGGTACATTAGGGTTTTCACGTCCTCCTTCTCCGTTACTCGCGCAATTGCCGCAGTGTTCGCGGTGGCGACCTCAAGATCCTGTTTGAGCACTGTACCCATAGTGTAATTTGATTTTGTTTCTGATGTGGGTATAGCACGATCCTTCATAATTGACTGTCGGATTGTCGTCAATATACGAAGAGTGTGAGGTTTCATAACTCGTTTAACTTCATTATAGAGGCTTCTGAAAAAAATAGTTTATATCGCTTTATTGTGTACTGTGCCCGAAGTGCGTATCGAATCAAAGAGTGTTACAATGCAAGGAGTGTTGCGGGACAACCACACTAAAGTATCGTTTGTTTTGTTTAGGCAGGATCGTACACTCCACGTGTCTAGATAGAAGTGTGTGGAAAACCGTTGGATTGCACGAAACGATTCTTCAGGAATTGATACACTACCGGACCAATAGTTATGCTCTGAATCAAATCACACTATATCGCATATTAGCAGATACATAGCCTTCTAAATTAGACACAGAAAACGATTGATAAATAAAATTCCATGATATGATTTCTACGTTAAACATGTTGTCTCCCTTTTCAAGCCAGTATATTGGTGCTGGCCAAACAGGCGGAAACGTGTTCAGTATTATTCAGCATAACGGGCTCAAATTGACATTTAATCAAAAAAATCTCATGGTGTATCACCATACACCATTTGCGAATAGATTCACAGGAATAGGTCGCAACCGTTTATACATGCGCTACAATCACGAAATATGCATTCCAAAAGTGGCTTTGTCGCGCGACCTGTCATAAACGAAATTTTTACGTTTTAAAACCGTCGTTGTACCGCAAGAATGGTTTCTGTACAAAACCTGAAATTAAGTAAAGCGGTGGTCCGGTCCATTGCCAGTTGAATATAGTACACTATAATTCATATTAGACGTCGACAGTGACAATGTTAGGCAGAGCCATCTATTTCTGTCTCGTAGGTAATATGCCTTAAACGCACATTAAACAATGATTTTAAGGGTAAACGGGAAGCAGTGCTTATTCATCACCGTGAAACCACGACAGCTGCGGACAAGAAGACCGATAGTGGTTAGCTAGTACCCATTAATGAATCAGGGGAGTCTGTTGTCGGTTCACTTTATTAGGGTGTATACCTCCAAATGTGTCGGTTCTCATTGTACTTTGCTTAATTCATTTCGAAACGGCTTTGGAGCACGCCGAAATGATAATACTGTACTCGTTGCAACACTAGAATGGTCACGAGCGCAGTCATTTCATTTGTTCATACTTTGCGAACATGAGGGGTAGGTACGATCTCAAAGTAGGTATGCCTGTCCGTCGTGATCCGGGAAATAGGTCGCCCATAACCTTCGGATGGTGACAATTAGCTTTGCATACCGATTGGCACTTATTTATTACTTGCGTTCTGGCAAACTTAGAGACACGTGACAACTGCTGATCGATTTCGATGAAACATTTTGGTGCAGCCTAAAATGCGTTTTATTATATATTCATGATCACACGAACTAAAAATTGGTTAGGATAGAGAACATACTCCTTTCAAAAGATACGTCTACTTTTATAGACCTTCAATTTATAAACTGTTCTGATGTTTTATAAATAATATTGTGAATTCCTCCTCAACTATTTATAGACCGTCGGTTCATACACAATATTCTGGTTCTATATTTAGTATTGTGATCCCCTCCGTTAATAACTATACATAGATCTTCGGTTCATACAAGTGCATATTACTGTTCTGCTATTATGTAGTATTTATTTGTATGTATACTCTCAGGCATCCGTCATCAGCACATCAGTATTTGTTTCTTCGCTCTCCTGTATGATGGGGCATGCATGAAATTGGAAGAAGAAGAAATCAGAATCAAACGGAAGGTTACAATGGCCTATCTGCGAACATGTGTCTATGCTTTTTTTTAAATTAGTTCATGATATTTTTGTACTAGTTTCATAAATGCACCACAAGCAAGCCTAAACTAGTTCATATACTCAGAAGATCGAGCTCTAGTCCTATTTCGATCCAAAATGGAAGTGTAGGATTGCTTAACAAAAGCTTTGACGCCATTGCCAGATAGACATTAGACATCACTCAATACACATACATAGCCAAAAGCAGGTGCGTGATTAGCTAACATGGTATTCTATATATACACAACAACACTTAATTGTATATTCAGACCTCATTAAACATGAATTAGTATGTTTCATGTACAGACAACATCTCTTAATTGAATAGTCATACCTCACTGAACATGAATTGGCTGTGGTATTCCTTCAGGAATGCTGTCGACCTCTTCTCATCCAGGAAGAGTGTGTAGCACTTTTTGACATCGGCTATGTCGACAGTGGGGGATTTTCGTCGCTTAGCAACCAAATCTGACGTCATAACCAGTTGCATCGCGTATCGCAGTGACGTTTCACACGCCACTTTGGTGAGGAAGGCCTTAGCTTCATCTGACAGCGTGACATCTTTATAAATGCAACAGATTGTTGTCGATGTTTAGCATGTGTAAGTGGATGAGCCTATACCTTACAGATGTGCAAATATATAGTGCACACCAGGAATAGGCACACCCTAACGTACAAGCCTAAATACGCCACTAAAATATTAGAGAGTAGCACAAGTTACATACATTACCATACAAACACCCCGAATGCACACTTACAAACTCATATATATATTTATACCTTTCTACATGTATATATATATATATATATA